ACAAGCATTCACACTCTCACATGCACCAGTTAATATACCATGCATGTCTTTGAACTCTGGAAGCAAACTAGAGCACTAAGAGGAAAGTCACAAAGGCACAGAGAGAAAGAATCAATTCAAAAGCTAACCTACATGTTCTTCTAAACTATGGAAGGAAATGCTGAGAAATATTTGGTCTCTGTTGTTATATATTAAGAACTTTGTCTTACAACAATTTTAGAGTGGTCTTGCAGTTTCTCCTGGCTGTGTCATTTAGTTTAATTGTGAAACAACATCCCCCTGAGAAAACTTCTAAATGCTTCATTTGTGTGCTTCATTTCGACTGATTTAATAGGGAAAGCTGTTTTAATCACATACTGCAGTGTAATGCTGTGTTTGGTTTCCTTCTGGAGTAGGATTACTTTGCCACAGTGTCATTAGTGTGTGTAGCTGCTTCCGCTTTATAAGTCCTGCATGACTCTGTGATGTGAGTGCCACACTGAAGCCCTGTGATTCCTTCTTTGCATTGTGGTGATCTTAAAACCATCATTATGTATATATGTGTGGGTTCCTCAACCAGATTGCCTTAAAGCTGTGTGATTAATTCCAGCATCTAATCCCAGTGTAGTGAGCGTGCTCTGCTTCAACTAATCCGCAATGGTTAATGAGACACTGTTTACTGCTTACTCTGTCTAATCCAGGAAATAGATAATCAACAGAAACAGGAAGTACAATAACCCTGACCTCTGAAATATTACTGTAGAAGCTGTAATATTTTATTCTGATGGAAACTTTACAGTGGGTTTTAAAATTATGAGTTTCAGAACCATCATTTTTGCTTTATATGTTTTAAAGTGAGCAGCACCCTGTGGTGGCCTGCTATCTGACCCCCTCAAAATCAGCCAGATTTTTTTTTACACCATTACTTTAGTATATTTAATAGGCACTTAAAGTACACAACCCCTCTTGTGTACTTCAAGCGCCTATAATTCAGAACATTGGTATGTATGGTAAATGTGGTAAAAAGTTGTTTTCAATAAATATAACGTATATATTTAATAGTTACCCCTGACTAATCATTAAACTGGCAAACCTTCACAAGACGAAAAAAATGAACATGATGTAAAGCTTGTGAAAAGGGACAACGCCGGTCTCTCTCTCCAATTCTTTTTGTCTTGGTAGAAATCACGCAGAGATGTTTCCATGTTTTACACAATCCTTTTATGACCCATTTTCCTTACAGATGCATCTGGAGATCAGCACACTGCAGTCCTATTCTAAAGGCTGATCTAAAGAATTCCACACAGCAGTTGCAGGTATAACCTCTGGTCACCTACTCCTACAGTAAACACCCCCACAATGAAAATACACAGGTACAGTGGCCAGGGGTGCTGACCCCCATCTCCTTTTAAGGTAGTGTCCATTGGCAATGGTCTGCCCCTCACCCTCAGTAACTCTTGCTTCCTGCCCTGGGGGTGGGGGTTGATCGTCCTTCTGCCCTGTACCCCAGTTCTTTGTTCCCATTCCAGGCCTATTTTCTATTTTGTATACCCATTAACCGCCATATTGTAATATTAAAAGCAATCCCAAACTATATTCTCTTTAACTCTGATGTATATTAAGGAATCTATTCTCAACAAGCTGAAATTGTCTATAAAGATGTCTCAAGCCTGCTCCGGAAGACAGGTAGGTCTGTGGAAAGGTGTTGTTGCATTTTAATTTGTGTGCATATAACAATCTGATTTTGTGCTTGTAGCTTAGCGTGCAGTTCTTCTTCTTTGATGCTTAACAGCAGCTAACATCCAGAACGATGCATTACTGCCACCTGTAGGATTCTCCAGTCATTTAATGCCACTAACCAGTCATTGTGTTTGCTAATGAGCATCAGAGGGTAAAAGCTCTATCTTAGCTGCCTGGGTGGATGCTAGACTGAGAGTGTGTTTAGCATGTCTTCAGAAAGACAAGAGGGAGAAAGTTGGCACTTAAGTGGTTAAAGCCTCTGATGCTATGATTCCTGGTGCACCAGGGTGTTTATAACCATTTAACTTCATTAAAAATAGCAATGTGACTCTTGTATTTTCTGAGGCAGATGTTGATATTTACTTTGCTAGGTTTGAGCGTAAAGCTACTAAACTGCTACTAATGTTGCAGTTACAGTTAGCAAGTAAGGCTCAGGGGGCTTGCTTTCCCCTGTTTCCCAAGGTCTAATTTACAAAAACTTGAAGAGTGCAATTTTACAAGCACATGAACCTGTACCAGAAGCCTAGAGAGCATTTCCAGGGTATCCAAAACCATCTAGTCAAACCTACACAGACTTTACCAGAGGGAAGGGAATTTTTTTCGTTGGGGGCGTTATGCATCCAGGGCTATTGATTTAGCCATGGTGCAAGACTTATGCACTGAACTGTGCCCAAATGTACTGGGGTGTATTTAGATGAACAAACTGTCAGTCATTGGTGTCAGACTAATCGCAGGTTGACAAAATCTGCAAGATTCCTCTTCCTATAGCAAAGTTGTCACTTTGCTATGCCCAGTTCATGACGACTTTTCCGGCTTTAACTATTTTGGGTAACCTGTATGTATACCATGGCTCTTGCTGGGCCTTCTCTGTTGTTAATGTTTTTTTGTTGTTGCTTTTTATGTTCTCAGCCCACAGGAACGCTTGTGAATGAACAGAAAGCTATTTCTGCAGACATGTTTGTAATGCTAGTTTATGGAATGATAAACCTCTGATGAAAATGGTTGCACCATGGAGGGCGATGCTACAGGCAAAGTGAAGGTGTGTCAAGATTTATAGGAAAATAGGTGTAAATCAGGTGTAGCACCGTCATTCTTTATGATTAAAATCAGATGGAAATTATAGCTGGAAGGAACGATCTGAAACCACTTAAACGTAGATGGTGCTGAACCGATGCTGAGTGCTGGCTGTTTTATAACTGTTGGAGTAGAACTGTATGAAATTTGGTGCAAATTGGATTTTGTGCTGAGGGCGATGTAATTAACAGCTAGAACTACTAAAAGAAATGCCACTTATGTTGGCTGTCAGCAACATTTATTGGTGGTAAGAGGCCTAAATCTGAGCTCAGACTGAATGGATACACATAAGAGTGAAAAAAGGCACATAAAAGAAAGGAAGGGAGAAATATAATAGACAAGAGCCAAAATAACTAGCTTCTATTCTTCCATCTTTATGGTTAAAACTAGGTGTTGGTCAAGTAATGGTAGTAGTGCAAGTAACAGTGTTGGAAAAGGGTAATTCTGACAGTAGGCTGGGAATTTTCGTTCTCACAATGAGTGGCCACAGACACTAATGCCAAGCTACATGTTACTGTACAAACACTGACAAAGTATTTGCTGCTTTCCCTCTTTTTTTTTGCATGTTGGTCACACTTAAATGTTTGAGACCATTAAACAAATTTGAATATTAGACAAAGATAACACAAGTAAACACAATATGCAGTTTCTAAATGAAGGTATTTATTATTTAGGGGGAAAAATCCAAACCTGTTACATATACAGTAGGTATTCAAACACACTGATCAACCTATTCTCTGGGTTTGTGTCTGGGAATGTGTGTTTTATCAGTGCCTTACCACATCAGAACACAAAAGCCAAGGCCAGGTCAGTTCTGACTTATTTGAGGAACGTCACACAGGAACAAGTGTCAGCTGTGAGTTTGTAGCTTATATGAATTCAGTGACTTGTGAATGCAGCACACCGTGAATACTCCCGTCATAAAATCATTTTTGTCAATTTTAACTTCTTTGTTGTTGTTTTGAATCCTTCTATGGTTACTTTGCTTTGATGTCATATTATGTAGTTACTTTCAGTCACCACTTCATTCCAATCTAAATAAAGTTCAAGTATAAGAACCCCAAGTGTGGTCCTGTGTGTGATTCAAGCTGCTACCGCTCCTCCCGACTCCTGGGGTGGACTGTGCGGCTCTTTCAGACTTGAAGCACTACAGTTCATGTCTGTGAACATGATAAAAATAATTTTGTTTATATCTCACAAACTGACTTTAGTCTCCATGGCAGCCCTTTACCATGTAAGTGTACACGGGAAAAAGGAAAATTTGTGTCCATGAACATAAATCAATAAATGAAACTATGAGACTGTGCACTCTCTGTGTCACTTCACATGACTCTTCAAGCACATGCATGAAATTCCATTTCAGTGTAACTGAATCTGTTTGGAAAATGTAACCGCAGTGTCTCAGGCCCAGATAGTGAGAGAAGAAGCACACAACTACACTTTAACTGCCGTTTTATTTCTATATATGATCAGTATCATATTTTGTGACACTACATGTACAAATCATCTTATAGTTTTACTGTACCTGTACATCACCTTTGATACATTTTGAGCTTCACAAGAATAGAAAACATGAAAAGCCTGCAAAACATTCTGCACATATTCACATTAAAACAACAAATACATTGTATTTATACACACAATTCAATCCAAATGTATCATATGGATATTTATAACTGGCCTGACATATTATATTGTGTAAATAAAACAGAGAAATGCTTAACACTGCTGTTTGTGTATAGGATAACTTTAACTGTGCGAGTACTAATATCAAAGGTGAACATTACGTGCCTGCAATTGTGTGGAATTCACTGAATACTGTAAGTACATAAGAATCTGATTAATGGATTTATAGCCATGGATGAAGCTTGTGTATCTTAGTGGCTGGGAATGCAGCAGGATAAATTGTCTTCTGGTGAATTTAGAGTAAACACGTTCTATACTGCAAGTTTGTAAAATTCACCCTGAATGAAAAAAAATCTATTTTATTTCGAAGAATGCTCGAATTACAATCTCAATGCAAACGTTTTCTCACAGGGTGTCTGTTAACCTCTTCTCCATACATTTAAACTTCCTGCCCATTGTGCAGTTATGTCTACCTTGGTGTCCCCTTAGTCAGCGAAGGCCTGGGGACTGAGGATTTGGACCACTGCTCTGAAACAAACAAGTTTTCTGGTTGGTGATCCACTCTTGAAAACTTATGTATATCAGAATTCACTCTCTTCCAGAATCTCTTCCATGGTTTCCCCAAGCGTCATCTCACCATCGCTACTGGATAGACTCTTCCTGGTGAGGAACTCAAGTCCTGTCACATCATAGCCATTCAGCGCTTGACCCTTAACTTCTCCTTTTCCGAGTACTCTGCCTCTGCCGTGCACAGCCACCTGGAGCAGGTGGGGGTGCATTGTTGAAATGCCGCCCTCGTCATAGGAGTCACTTTGCCGAGAGCACCGCGGATGATGTCCTCGAGTACATTTCCACAGGTGCTTCAGGGGCATTCCCCGAAAACAGGTCCTGACCTTGAAGTGGTTGGTGAACAAGAAGAGCTGCCAGCGCTTTTTTAGTTCAGCTTGTACCTAAAGATAAAGGTTCCCAGTTATAGCAGTCCATTAGGCATATATTTACATACATGTACATAATGGCACGTAGCTTCGGATTTATACTTTTTGGAGTTGCTGCAAGTTACTGACTGCCTTGTACGCAAGTTTTTTTAAAATCACAAGATTTTCAGAAAACGTAACCTCTGATTTCTGGCCTTGAGATCAATGTCACTGCAATTTAATCTTGTCCAACATTTTTTATTAGATGCACCAATAGCATCAAGTTGAAAATCTTAGGCGACTTAATTCTTGAGCTGTCACATTCACAAGATTTTTTAGAAACCTCTAACCAAAGTTGGGCTACAAATCTTTGTGTGTCTTGGGCCATTTGACCTCAATAAATCACATGATAGGGTGGGGCTAGGTTTCACAATGGGTTCACCCGAAACCTCGGCTGATTGTGACCCACATCTGTTTTCACACCTTGTGTGATTAGGTAGAGGATCAATAGGGGGTCCATGACCAGTGTTGGTCAAGTTACTTGAAAAAAGTAATCAGTAACTAATTACTGATTACTCCCCCCCAAAAAGTAATCCCGTTACTTTACTGATTACTTATTTTCAAAAGTAATTAATTACTTAGTTACTTAGTTACTTTTTAAAAACACGATTTACAACCTGAAGAGGTGATAAAGTGATAGATCTTTCAGCCCAATTCTACTTTTTCTACATAATCCATCATACAAAATGTAATCAAATGGAAAAGTCTCTTTTTTTAACTTGTTTTTATCAGTTTTAATCTTTTAACTTTATGCATCAAGCAAAACATTTAATTATATGCAACATTCTCTGACTTGAATAAATTAGTTTAACATTTAAACCTATTTTCTGCACATTCCAGCACATAAAATAAAATATTTTTTGTGTTTTCACTCACTCTTTCAAACAGATGCAAGTAAAACACAGCAGAAAATAAATAAAGTCAAAGACTCAGCGGTCCTTTTGCTCTATTTTCACCTGTAAAGCAGGAGCAGGGTAGGCGGAGGGTTACCCTGGTGTAGGTGTGCTGCGGTCAGTTGAAGAATCCGCGCGAGTGTCTCTGTGAGTTTCCCATCACGTCGTAGCTACTCGGTGCTTGCTCGGAAGTTTAGGGGTTTTTTTCGCTGTAAAAAGAAGTTTTCTTCCCACGCACGATGGACGCTAATGTTTTTGTCACTTTTTATGGAATCAAACTCAAAGTAAGGTCAGTACTTCCACACTTTAAACGCTGCACGCTCATACTCTCTCCCGCACTCGATATATTATCCATTGTTGATCTGCACACAGCTGCTGTCACCAACGTCGCACTTGCTTACGTCACTGTCATGAGACATTCTTGCAAAAAAAATCACGGTTTTAGTAACGCAGTAACGCAGCGTTCCTACGGGAAAGTAACGGTAATCTAATTGCCGATTTTGCAATAGTAATCCCTTACTTTACTCGTTACTTGAAAAAAGTAATCAGATTACAGTAACGCGTTACAAGTAACGCGTTACTGCCCATCTCTGTCCATGACCCTGTTGGGGGACACTCTCATAGGGCTTAAACTGTGGGACTGTTGCTCTTAGAACTGAAGAAGCTTCTCGGATGAAATGTCTTCAAGAAACTTAAAGAAGTCCAGACACTTTTTTTCCAAGCACCTTAGACTACGATGACCTGGATGACTGAGAACCTTCACAGACATTTAGTATAATTTAAAAATGGCCCATGTATTTCTTATATGCATCCGTTACACTCCTCTGACCGGCCAATTATCTCATTTGTTGGTTTCAAGTGTTATTAGTTGGGGCGAGGGGGCTGTGGTAGTTCACGGTTTATGGTCACCACTTTCCCTTGTGAACAATTGTTCTTGCACGCTCCACTTTGGTGTTATTTTGATTAGTTGTGCGCCTCATGATTTTTTTTTAATGAGGATACTATCTTGTCAGTCTTTACCTTGTTCAGTGATATGTCACTATAGAAGCTCAGAGAACCTCAGACCATAGAGGCTAATGTAGCCTACTACAAGCTGGGGTTATATTATGAAGTACAAGCAGGTATGTGGTCTGCTAAACTGCAGAAACTGAAGAAAGAAGCTTTAAAGCTTTCAGGCAACAAAGCAAGAACTTGTGCATTTTAAATTTATTTTTTTGTTAAGTTTTCAGTTCTTACTATACAATTTTCCTGATATCAAAACTGCATTTATTGTAACTGACAAAAGAAAAACATACCTCTCCATTAGCAAAGCAGTACAGAACAGCTACCAAGAACCCCTAAAAAAGATTGTACGCAACAAATAGCAGTTATAATGCAGTTTTAGAACAAAATAAAATTCTCATCAGGTGGATAATTTGTATTAGTGGTGTTACCTGGAATGAGCTGAGGGTGAGGTTGACAAAGTTCCGAGCATAGCGACTGCTTCCATCTACACACTCGTCTATCAGCACAGTGAAGACTACTTCATGGATTCCAAGCAGAGGAATCAGCACCAGTGTTGCTCTGGCCAAGCTAAAGTCCATAAACAAATACATTTATCATTGAGAATGAGTATGAGCATTTTTAGAGTGGAGTTATCCTTTGCTCTTTTTAAATCTAAGGGAATAAGAAACATTATATAACCTGTGCGTACATTTATATGCATGATTTTCCCTCGTGGTGTGACATTTATGGTCAGAGCTGTGGGGGTGACATTTGAATTTGTGCTGCACATGGTGAGTGATTAACATTTAAATGGTAAGCCAGGAGTCTGCTGTACCAGTTTAAGAATAAGACTTTGGAAACAGTTCTCAAGGTCAAGCTTGTTTCCTGACATTTAGACAGGGAAGCAGTAAAATCTTAAATACCTGTATCTGTAGTCGGTAAATTTCACCTGATCTGCTTTCAGCTTGGACAGCAGCAACATCAGAATCTTAATGAAGATAAAGAAAATAACCTGCAATATACAACAAAAGCAGGTTTAAATGAAATGCACATTAAAAAAGACTAAAAGTGTGTTGGAAATGCTTCAAAGTAAGAAGATGGCTAATATCATTCATACTTGTGACTATAGTAGCATCATATCACATGCCAACACGAGGCATAAACCATTACATGGAGAAAATTAGGGGGAAAGTAACTAATTAATTAAGCACCACTGGAGCCACATGACATATCTGTAACCAATGTGACTGTGCTATGGTTCTTTGAAAAGTGTGTAGAGGTTGTTGAGAAACTTGACTTACTAACACTGATAAAGTGATCGGGCCCTTTATGATCCACCAGAACCCTCTGTTAATAATGGACCAGCATCTAAGGAATAAAGGGTTTACGAGTCAAGCAGCAGTCTGTTAAACTGATTATTTTAATATAAAACATGTATTGAGAGACTTACTCTGTGTTTTCATATAAAATCTTGACCACTGTCCATGGTGTCACAAACAAGGCCGGAGTTCCTGAAACACCAATGACATGAGATGGTAGTTGAAACTGGAGCATTTCAGATTAACAGATCACACTTAAGTGCACATGAATCAAACTACACAAGAAGACGCTATCGCTCACAGTTTTGAAGCACTACAAGTGCATGAAACCTTCACTGCCACGGGAAATGTTTCTGACTTGGACAAATAATCCTGCTAACAGATGAAACCCATTCAGTTTTTACCCACATGGAGAGAACCGATGCAACCACAGAGACAACATGCTAACTCCACAGAGAGCAAGCAGACTCAAACCCAGAACCTTAGTTAACCACTGCACCATTGTGGAGTTAACATGATGAAATACCTAACTTAACATTTAATTCAACCATATACTGCCTTGATCCAGTTCTTTATACTGGCAACCCTTTCTTGGATATCTGTGACTGTAATGGTTACTGGACCCTGTTCTGGGAGGTTGATGTGGTCTTGTCTCAGATCCACGAGCCATAGTTGGCTAATCTCCCCCCGTGCTACCTTGATCTTAGCCTCTAGTCGCATTCTCCATGGAGGGTATTGCTCCTTGTGGCTGTTCAACTTGTAGCCAAGCATCTCACTGATCACTGCTGCCGTAGTGTAGATCAGCTTGTTAGTTGTCCATCGTGCTGCATTCACATCATCTAGTAGGTCTTCTGAGGGTACTTCACGTAGTCTTGGAGGATCCACGTTTCAAGCTTTGCCATGATTCTGTCTTTCAGGTCAGTTCCTCTCATACTCAACAATCCTTCTTCATTCACACTTTGGGCTTGGTACCCAATCTCGGGTGGGGGTGATGCTATCTCTCCCCTGACCTGCCATCCTGGCTCCCCCTTGCTGTAGCATGTGTGTTGTACCTCATCAATCTCTAGCTATGAGAGCATTCCCTTCTTCCGAAAGTTGGAGCACTGAGCTACATTATTTCGCCGTCAATGTGGATGTTTGGTATCGAAGATTCCATCGGTCCCTTCATGTAACCCCAGTCAGCTTCTTCAGCCATAAGTGTGACCCATGTCAGGGCCTGGTGCTGTCCAACTCTTCATACTGGCAAACCTTTCTTGGATGTCTGTCACTGTGATGGTTTATGGACCCTGTTCAGGGAGGTTGCTGTGGTCTGCTCTCAGATCCACGAGCCATAGTTGGCTAACCTCTCTCCATGCTACCATGTTCATTTGTTTGTTCATTCTTGTGTGAACATGTTAATATGGCCACGTCCTTGACTTATCTGGACAAAAGTGAGCTTTGGGCTCAGGTTACTTCCTAATATAAAAGCATACACACAAATAGTTCATGTCTAACTCACCCCATCCTAGCAGCATGTATTTCTTCAGCAGACACCTCTTGGTCAGCACAGCAGTGAAGAGCAGCGTATGAAGGAAAATGGCCTCCACCAAAAGCCAGAAGTAGTTACAGGCCACAAAGTACTCCATGCACACCTTGGACAATCTGCACATTATCACTATCTGTTAAAGTGTAAGTTTCAGGTAGATTAGTCTCAGAACTGTATCCACTGAAAACCAGAAACAAATAAGAAGACATTATTAACAGTCTTTAGAAAAAACACCATAGTGTACCGGAGAGCTCGAGTAGGTGTTCCATCCAGGGTCGTCCTTTGGTAGGTTGGAATACATGATGTGCATTATGATCTCCTTAGAAAGGATAGCTGCAGCTCTCAGGATGAATGACACAAACAGATTCATATGGATGTAGTTCCTGGTACAGTGGAGCTTCCTGGTAAGAAGATACAGAAGCAATTTGAAAAAGCCATTGATCCTTCTTGTGCAACTGTAAAAGCATTACTGAGGGCACATGACATAACATAAGTGGAAATGAAAAATGCTCTTGGTTGTCACGGGTACATGGAAATGTTTGTGGCTTTTAATGTAATTAAAAATGATAACTTGTCTCCACAGGCTTGTAAATATCTCTTCCTAGTGGGTAACTGTCAAGTCCTGTAATCCTCTGCATAAAATCAATGCAGTTGAAGTTAATAAGTCCATCCTATATTTTGCTAGTGGTATAACAGAATTATAGAAGCTGTATCCTGCCGAGTGGAAGCAGAATGTTGTAGATGTTTTTAGGCCTAAAGGATATCTTCAGTTACCATCCAAATGTAGTGCCAAAATGTAGCATCCATATTGCAACTGAAGTCTGTGGAGATCTGTTAAAAAACTTCCAGCTTTTGTTTCCTTTACATAAAGCAAGCATGCCAGGTTTACTAAATATGGCAGCTCTATACATGTGAACTACGGTCTACAGTTGGCAGCTCGACTCTATAATGATCTAGTAAAAAATGTTATCATGTAATCATACACAAGATCTGATGACCAAAGGTTCAAAGTTAATACCAAAGTTGTCATAAATCTTTATAAACTTTATTTTTCTGAACATTAAAAAATTGTTTCAAACCTTAGCATGCCCATTAGCAGAGTGGCTAATATGAGAGACACCAAAGACAAGGAGTAGCCAATGACAGAGATGAGCCTGAGGGCTGTATGGCGCAGCATTTCATCCTCCTGGAAAAAGATATAATTACACAATAAAACTGACGGAGGCAATGCTACACTTCTTTAGCACAAAAATTCTGATTAAGGACAATCAAGAAAATAATCCCTTATAGTCTTTCTAGAACTTTTACGCCTAGAGAAAGAAACAAATTGCAAAATAGAGACCTCGCTTTCAGCGTTAAAACCTAAAGGGAAACTATGTAATACACACCCTTTCCCTCACCTTGTCTTTAAAGTAATGGTGCTCCTCACACTCTGAGACATCCCTCCAGGGCTCGGAGGAGTTCTCCATTTGTCGCCATCTCCCATTTTCCAAGCATTCTCTATGTGCGCTCCTAGAATTGTCTGGAGGTAAATGGAAGAAACATGGATGGGCATTATTTCCTCTGACAGCTCAGTGAGAAAAAAGGCTGACTTGGAGGGGAGATAATTACTTTACGTTTATTGTTTTGTATTTATTCTGGGTAGGCAGTTCTTCTCCTTGGAAGAAGAGGTCAAGAATTCAAACTTCATTGTGATATATTCTGTATCATTTTCTGGTGGTAGATTTAAGAAATGTGAAATGTTAAAGTACTTCAGGGCACATCTTTATATTCAGTCTTTCATAAAGTTTCTAAATATGAGGGACATACTGGAAAAATGTCATCTGATGTCCAAAATTAGAGGGGTAGCAGTCTATGCTAACATTTATTTTCCCCTAAGGGACTGTGTCACTTACAGTTCAACAATTTAGCATGAAATTATATCAAAATTGAATCGTGCTGAGTTATAACAATGGTTATTTGAAGCTGGGTGATTTTGAATTACTTCTGCATGTATAGTTCCTCCTGTCTTACTATCGAGAAAATAATTCCATGGAAAATTCAACTTGAATAAAACTGACTTGAGATTGCACAAAAAAAATACATGCACTTTAAACACACACATACACACAAACATAAAATAACGACAAATTTACTCCGATCATTGTGAAGTGAAATTGTGGCATTATGACAGCCCTAAATGCAACCTGTGCTTTTTTCCATGGTTAATAAAGAATACAAGAATTCTTTATTAACCTACAACTATTGGCAAAAACATGAAAAATGTTATTTCAGTGTATATTTAAGAGAAGAAGCATTTTAAATTGTGTAACAGTGGGTTACAGCTCAGGACAGTTCCAAGAGTTTATTATGACCATTAGGCAATAATACTGTGACTATGTTTCTTCTTTTTCACGTTTAAAGTGTGACTGTGTAATTAGCTGTTTTGATTTTGACATTTAAATGCACTGTAAAATTCGTATGCTTTTTGCTGCATTCTTGTGACTAATGAACAAAGTATGCATAATACAGTTTTTAAAAATTTGTGCACTCCTATGTGATTTGTTTCGGATAAAACAACATTACCGTCACTGATCCACGGTAAGAAAGACGGACAGGGGACGGACACATTTCCAGGAGAAGAGTGGGGCCAACACACAAACATGTCAAACGCTCCTTTGCAGTAGTTTCCTGCAATAAAAATAATGCTTGAGGATTTTGTAAAGGTAATAAAAAATGACAAATATGAAGACTTGCAGAAGGCTTACCAGTTATTGAGAGTGCACTCGCTACCAGAGTTTTATTGCAGTTCTTCGAGTATTCATTCCGCTTAGCAATCAGACTTTCAAGCAGTGAACCTGTTACCTTCCATTCAGATGGAGAAAGAAGTGAGAGAAAAACTGTTATTTGATATGTTTTCGCTCAGGATGATATCTGGGAAAGAATTGTTTAAGATGCTTATATAAAAGACCACATAAACAGTACATCGTACAAAACGCTGATCATTTGACTTATTGGTTTTTATCAGGGGAACATCTTTATTGGTAATGAAATTCATGGACTCCAAACTCTCTCAAATTTGCCCACTACAACAAAAATTAAAAAATAACAGTTAAAATTTAATTAAAAGTCTAACAGACAGGTTGTGTGAATAACATTTTGGAATATAGTTAATCACGAGAAGAAAAGACAACCCATCATTTTAAAAGTAACTTTCAGTTAGGGGCGATTTGTGACTCAAGAGTTGGGAGTTCGCCTTGTAATCGGAAGGTTGCCGGTTGGAGCCCCGGCTTGGACAGTCTCGGTCATTGTGTCCTTGGGCAAGACACTTCACCTGTTGCCTACTGGTGGTGGTCAGAGGGCCCGGTGGCAGCCAGTGTCCGGCAGCCTCGCCTCTGTCAGTGCTCCCCAGGGCGGCTGTAGCTACAATGTAGCTGCCATCACCAGTGTGTGTGTGTGTGTGTGTGTGTGTGTGAATGGATGTGTAAAGCGCTATACAAATACAGGCCATTTACTAAAATTGTTTAATTATGGGTGTGCCCAGATGTGAGACGCTGTCTTTTTCTTTTACCAAGGCACGCTTACACATAAGGATGTTTTCCTAATGACTTCTCTAACTGACTAACTGCACCATCTTATGGCACACACTTGTGTTACATGAAAGTAAAGATGAGTTTTAAACTTAAGATATTAGTTCAACACAATACCAAATGTAGATGTCTAGAACATGAAGTTATGGTGTTGTTTCTTCAGATTGTTGTAGTTCAATTTCGGAGGTTTTAAATATTTTTAAGTGCAGCATTTTAAAAAAGAACCTCTAACCAAGCTCAGGAAGGCCAACAGGGATAACATGTATAAAAGTGCATCAATAAGATTCAGTTTAATCTTCATTTTAATGAGGTTTGAAACACCTTCTGTGACACAAACATTTTCTTTGTTTTCATGTCCTTTACAACAATCGTGTTTTGTTAGTGGCATTTTCTTATTATTAATAATGTGCCAGCAAACATGACTGTGTGTGCCTACAGGTCCAACAATCGTTTTGAGGTGTCTACATGGGTTTTCTATGAGTAAACTTAGTATAAATTGTCCACCAAAAAACCCCATTAGGAGACCAGAGGGGTGAAACTACTGTCTGGTCTGCATGGACCAGCCTGGAGGCTATTTCCAAGCAACCATGTGACGTACTATATATTGCATATGTTTTTCAGCTGACACTGGGATGAGCCAAGTTTGTTAATACAAATATCTAATCAGTCGATTACACTGCAGCACATCAATGCTTTTAAACATGTAGACATGGAAAACAGAACCTGCTGAAGGTCAAACCCAGCATCAGAACGTGGACAAAGGCAAATTAGGGACTCTGAATGTGCCATGGTTGTTGGTGAAAAGAACTTTTGATCTGCTGAGACGTTCCTGCATAATCATCTCAAGAAAATATTTAGTAAGCAGTAGTTCTCTGTGCAAAAACGCCTTATTGATGCCAGAGGAGAATGGCTAGCGTGCATTGAGCTGACAGGACTGTATGCCAAAGAGCATACACAATGCATTGATCCTTAAAACGGCTGCAACACCTGAAGACCACCCAGTGTACCACTCCAGTCAACGAGAAGGCAACGACAACCGATGATTGGAAAAATGTTTCCTGATCTGAGGCGTCATCATCATATGATTCATTTATGTATTTAAGTGAATGCTTAGTATCCTGTGTAATCATTGCATATTTACCATATTAAGTTATTCAGAAGGAGTTTATGAAAGGAGCACAGTTTAATTTTAAGTTTTTGCTAGTTAATTTTGCTTCAAATTAAGTGAAAATTTAATCAGTTGTTCAATATTATGAAAGTTTATTTATTCATTCGTTCATTGCTGATTAAATTAAAGCGATTTACAGTTAGCTACAGTCATTTAATTGAATTGTCTATTTAATTTAATGATTGCAAGATTGAATCTTTCACAGTATCTGCAGCCTGCAGATGAAGGCACTGTTGCAGTATCCTTTTTTATCCACTTGGTGGGAGTATTTAATCAGGAGCAGCATCTGTGACTGAGGGAACATTTTCATCTTAGTTTAATCTTCAATTGATACATGCAATTTATCAACCTGGCTCACTGCATTAGTGCCATGCCTTCAGCAATGCAAACACACACCTGTGTATTTATTCCGGCCTCAGTGACATATACAGAGTGAATTATAATTCCCCCTTAATTTGCTTTCATTAGTGAGACGTCAGCATTTCCTGTATTTGAGACCCCGTCTTTTATAGATGATATCTAGCTCACCTATCTTATCTTGGTTGAACACTTCCAAGCTTCACATCAAAATGAGAGCAACAGCTGAACTAGGCAACCGCCTGTGCCGCCTGTAAACGCTGCAGAAAATACATAAAAGCCCGACGGATCACACAATGCATTATATATGTCTCCACAGACAACTGTTAGCTGTCATTGTTACTGTTATTTTGTGCTGCAAAATGATCGTTTGAATCAAATATAGAAGACGTTTCCATTAAGTGTGACGCAGCTCTCACACTCAGTGATAAATACTGCTTTTCTGTCTGGTTATAATTTCACAGAAAAGCCTCAAATGTGTGTGTATGTACAGTTTACCTGATGGCTGTAGATGATAAAGAGCAGTGTGAGCAGGAGTTTGGTCCTCTTGTTCCAGGCTGGCATTGGAGCCGGCATGGCTCTGTGTTCACATTGAAATCAATTGGTGTCTGGTCTCTTGGCTTTCCTGCCACCTCATGCCTTTCGCTTTGGCTTGTCGGGCCTCTCACTCATCCTTGCTTTAGCGCCGTACTTCCTTTTTTGCACTGCTGTTCCAGCTTCACTGCATCAAAAAGAGTGGATTTGAACCTGACCTCCTTCCAAGAAACTCCGAAAATTTTGTTACGACGGAAGGATGATTTGAAAGAATTGTGCTCAAAGCTGGTCTCCCACCTATACCAGTTATCCTTAGAGTTCCTTAGATCCAGCAAATGCTTCCACTCTAGTTCTTCAATTAGCTACTATATTACTTTTTAATAACAGATTTCATGGAGGGTAAAACCAAGTTCTCATCTGTTCACGAAGAGCTCTGGGACTGAGGTGGATCTGTCTGTGCTCCCTATAGATACAGAGCAGCTGAACACGCCTGTGGATCCTCACCGACAGATTGCCTCTCCCACCCAGTCCTCCCCTAACCAATGAAGATAAAGCCCCAGAAGAGTATAAATGAACTAACTTTGTTGTCCAGGAAAACTGATCACACAGGAGTAAACTGGTCACACACTGTTGTACCAGCATTCACTGGGATTTCATGCGCATATACACTGAAAAAAATCACAATGCACATACAAGCACAAGCAAATACCACCTTAACTTGTGACAAAAAGAGAAGACACAACTGCTCCCTTCTGTCTAACTAGCTCAAACAGTAACTGGGCATCACCCAGCATTTCTGACACTAATGGGGATCTAGTGTAAACTAACATCCACAGAAGCCAAACACAGACGAGCAAATTAGAGAGCAAAGAGCCAGGGTTGGTGCATTAAAAACCCATCTCAGTATATCATTAAGAATAAATCGCCTTGCGTAATTTATTTTTAATTGACAAAAGCTAATTTCACAATCAGAAAGGAAGTAGTAACAGTATTAGTTGACTAACCAATTAGCTAATTAAGCCACAACTTTCTCATGACTTTTTACAGCAGATAGAAAAAACTTAAACAAAACGAGAGATAAAATGTTATTACATCACATGGATCACAAAAAACCTTGCATATGATGAATTCTTATTTCATAACCTAATAATTGCATTCTGAATTTTCTCACTGACAAATAAATTCCATTTCAGTTCAGTTCAATTTGATTTTATTTAATAGCACCAATTTACAACAACAGCTGCCTCAAGGCGCTTGATGATGTATTAAAGCTGTATGTACGCATGCACGTACAGTCCTGTGAAAAAGCAGTTGCTCTTTTGTGACCTCTTAGTTAATTGTATTTTAGAAGCAGTTACATGTTTCAGAACGTTTTGATTTTAAACGAAGAAATGCAGTTTTAAAAATCTGATTTCATTTATTAAGGGAAAAAAGCTATCCAAACCTGCCAGACTGAAGTAAAAAAAGTTGTGACCAATCATAGATTAACTGTGATTAACCACATTTGTTGGAAAGCTCAATTTCACTAGCCACACCTAGGAGAGATTACTGTCTGACAAGGGAACCAGGCTAAAAGCCACAATCTAAAGAAACAGCTACGCAACAAAGACTTCAGTTTACTCCACAGTAAGAGTGATTATTCACAAACTTGGAGAAAACTTGGAACAGTGGTGAACCTTCCCAGGAGCAGCCGGCCTACTAAAATTACTACAAGAGCGCATGAATGACTCATCCACGAGGTCACAAAAGAACTATGGAGAACATCTAAAGAGCTGCAGATGCCACTTGTCTCAGTTGAGGCCAGTAATCATGACACAACCACAAGAAAGAGGCTATGATTTTCCCTAAGATTTTAGGAAAAATATTTTGTGAACTGATAAGACAAAAGTTACCTTTTGGAAGGTTTGAGTCCTGTTACATCTGGCATAAAACTTTTACAGCCTTTCAGAAAAAGAGACCAAGAGCACCAAACACGGTGGAGGTAGCAAGCAAGCAATTTATTTATAAAGCACTTTCAGATCAGCCCCCAGCTGAACACAAAGTGCTGTACACTTGACATGCCATGTTCAATGTTTTTTAACATTGAACATGTTAAAAAATAAATAAATAAATAAAATAAAATAAATAAAAAATATTTAAAAAATAAAAAATAAGATGATTATTGACATTTAAAATAATAGGTAGTGTGATGTCTGCAGCACTTTGCTGAACAACTTGCTGCAACTGATGGGATCATGAATTCTGTTTATTACCACAAAATCCTGAAGGAGAATTTTCCAGTCATCACTTTCTGTCCTGAAGAGCAAGTGCACTTGGGTTATGCAGCAGGACGATGATAGAAAACAGACCAGCAGGTCCACCTCTGAATAGCTAAAACAAACAAACAAACAAACAAACAAAAAGGTTTTGGAGCGGCTTAGTTGAAGTCTGGACTTAAATCCTATTGAGATGCTTTAGGACGATCTTCAACGGCCGTTTACAGGCCGTTTGAGTGTGTATGTAATCTCACACCACACATATACAAATATAATCACCAAAATTATCTAACAAAAGGAAGGTGAAATCAAGAGATATCCCAGGCAGCAAAGTGACTCAGAATGGGATATTTACCTATTTTCAACTTCAAGGAAAAACCTCAGATTTGTGTATTTGTTACATGTTACTTTAGAATTTTACTGTAATATGAACGTGACAGAATCCATTTTAGAGAAAATACTTATACATCTATCGGGATATATCTATATATATCGAGTTATCTATCTATCTATCTATCTATCTATATGTGTGTATTCTTTCAGGATGACATAGTGCACCAAGCTTTGCATTATTTATGATCATGACATGCAAACTAACAGTAAGATCCTTTTATTCCAGCTTTGTAAGCTTGGCAATACAGAGCTGTGGCTGAATGTGCACACTATGTGCCTGCAGACAGTAGAGATTAGGTTTAGACTAGAGGAAAAATACATCAGAATTTTCAGTGCAATTTGAAAGATTTAAATAGCAGTGTGCGGTCTCAAGCAGCAGACGTATGGCCTTAGGGTACTGGTGTGGAGGGATTCTCATTTATAGCTGGACAGCAGGAAGAGAAGAGGCTGTTGAAGAGGTAATGTGAGAGTTCAAATGTGGCCATTTCAAACCCACTTAATGGTCGAAACCTCTCCCATGGTTTGTGCTCTGGTTCCATTTATGAGAGCTTCACTAAACCTGAGAGCCACTTTGAGTCTTTTACCAAGAAAGTGATTGTGAGATAGCGATCTACTAGTAAAGGCAGTGGAGTAAAATGGATAAAATAACTGTATAAATCCCATTCTAGTAAGTCCAATTTTCTATTTTAGTTTTAGGAAATACACTGCTGGTTACATATCCAGAATTGAAATCAGTAAAATACAAACCATGTATACATTTACCCATAAAACACAAACATATTGATAGTGTAAATGCATGCTAAATGATCTGTTAAGGATTTACGACTGATTGCAACAGGACACTCTTTTCTAGACATTTGAAAACAGAGGTTAGGTGTGTATGTGAAGGTGTTAGATGTGGTTGTGGTGGTCAGCAGTGACTGCTGTTGTCATGATAGTCACAGGACAGTTCAAAGGTTTAATTCACAAACTCTGGTTTGAATAAGAAAGTCAATATACCTGCAGTTTCAGTGAGTCAACTGAGGAGCACAGTCTCTGGCTCCCTTGAGACAATGAAGCTGGAAGGGTGAATTACATAGTTCAAAGTCCAAACTGAAGTAAATCCATGAGATGAGGTTCTGACAAAGGCAGCAAACTGAAGGGACGCACAATCAGGGATTCCTGGGAGATGAGAGTGTGAATCACCTGGAAAACAACAATTCTGAATATTTAGACTTACAAGCCCTAAATTACCACAAAGCCAAGCTGAACAGCCTGACAACGAATAGCTCAAAAGCCAGTTAGGCAGAGGCAATGACACACAGGTGTGATGATGCAGTTGCTGCAGCCCCCGATCACACCTGCTCTCAAAGCCCAATCACACAAAGACCTGGGAGCAGAAGAGAGAGAGAAAGCGAGAGCAAAATTAGAGGGGCGGTGTACAGGGCTCCAGGTAACCATGGCACCTGTCAATTACTGCACAGTAAAGAACAACAGGACATGAGAAAGTGACTGGAGGAGATTTTTAAATAAACAAATGTGTTTCTTGTTTGGCCGACATTTTCAACTTTCTCTCATCGCCTCCACCACCAAAACACCAAGATGCTAACAATGGGAAATATATAGGTTAATACTATTTATATTACACTGTCATATTATTTATGTTTTGTGAAAAAAACAACATGAAATTCTGAATATTTTTGGATGCAAACTTGTCATGGAATATGTATAAACACTGCATCCATAGCATTTCTGCAAAAACATCCTGCACAATGAAAAAAAATAGGGAGACATCAAGCGATGATGAGCTTGGTTGGTTGTTTCCAAACAACAGCTCAGCAGCAAGGAGATTTTCATCGTGTCAGTGGGGGGGGGGCTTGAGCTCCTGTTGGCAGAGTTGGGACCACATCTATGGAGGCAGAGGAAAAATTTTAAAGAGCCGATTGACCCAGAGCAGCGTCTAGCTGTGTGTCTGAGGTAAAACAGTATTATTCACTGTATATTCAGTATCTGTGTTCATTTTGAGCTACCAAAAAACCCATGCAAAATTCTCCTGTGAAATGACACAGTAATTTTCAACTAACAAAATATTTGCGAGAATTTTACATTCTCAACATTTAGAGGCCTAAACTGATGCTTCTAAACGGGGCTTCAAAAACTAGTGGGTGATGTCACAGTCTATGTTATCTATGAGTATCATCGCATTCTTATGCTGGTACAAGCCAATAATAAATGAAACAAATTATGAACTCATAAAAAAGTAAAAAGTATTCATAAAAATATAAAAGCTGAATTAAAAGTACAAAGAAAGTTTCATTTATTAATTCAATTGTCCAGTTTGTGGTAACAGACTACGTTAAAGCATGTTATCTATCTATACTATATCTATAGGCATTACGGCTAAAGTGCTAGCAAATTCCGTTTTCTTCATTCAGCAGACAAAGAGCAACAGAAATATTCATTTGAAAGATATGTTTCATCTGATTATATCATTCGAAGTCCAATTCTTGTCTTACTAATTATCAAAAAAATATAAATGCCAGAGTCATAAAACCAAAGTAATTTAACTGAAAAATGATAAAATGCTCAACAAAACTGTGAGGAACGGATTTAGGTGCTAATTCTCAGAGTTTCAGTATATTTTAACACTGGCCAGACTAGCTTTAAATTTCTTTGTGTCATAAGGTGTGAAAAACATTCATGTGAAATTTCTGTCAGTTATAGTGAGTGTGCTGCATAAATGAATGCATGTGTGGCACCATGCTGACATAAACTTTCAGGAAGTTGGTCCTCTTTACTACAGTGGCCCTGAGAGGCCAAACGGACTGCAACTTAAGGAAACACCAGCAATAAGAAAAACCCTGCAAAAGCACACAAAACAAAATAGGAAACATGACAACGGAAATAGGAAAAAACACAAGGGAAGTGTTTCTGGGGAGACAAGAACCGGACAGACCAGTTGCAGGAACCCAAAACATGGTAGGCGTGTTTTATCATATAACCCTGATGATGGATTTTTAGTCTAACACACTTACCTCTCATCTTTTCTTTCCTCACAAAACTGATAGATCCTCAGCTTCTTTTAAGTGTCTCCCAGTGCAATTCTTAGCATATTTTGGTTCCTGCAGCTGGTCCGTCGGGTTATTGTCTCCCCAGAAACACTTCCCTTGTGCTTTTGGAAATCTCTTTTTTCCTATTTCTGTTTTCTTTTTTCCTATTTCCGTTGTGTTTTGTGTGCTTTTGCAGCATTTTTCTTATTGCTGGTGTTTTCTTAAGTTGCAGTCTGTTTGGCCTCTCAGGGCCACCGTACTTTACAGTATCCTCAGGATCATTGTCAGTTAGTTTAGAATTTGATTAATTACTTCCCAAAAGTGTTTTAACAACTCTTACAGCAGTGTTGGAAACACGCTATTTTCAATCACAGACTTTGACTTTGGGGATATATAAATGATCTGACTATTTTCTCAGCTCCTAAGAAATGCCATTTATCTTCTGACTGTGTTGCACTTTCCAAGGATTCCAAGTTATACTGTCATAACGTAAATAGTCATTTATATTATTCCTTAAAACCTCATTTAAACATTTAAAATAAGCTAAAAAGGTTGAGAAAGAAATATAATTACACAACATATCCTGTTTTCCCATGAATCAAACTGACCTTATGTTAACAACATTTTTGATAAATTTGACTTTCAGTCCCAAACAAGCAGCCATAAATTCACGGAGTGAATTTCAAGAGAAGGTTGAAGGAGGTCAGGCACGGTGATTAATGTATCTCTCCACACCAGCACCTCAGCTGAAGCTCGCCTTTTAGAAACATAGTAGCGGGGTGAGGTAGAGATGGAGATGGGTGTCATTCTTACACGTATTAGGCAAACACAGCCCTGCAAATGTTTACGCTCTCCTGCAAATGGTTTACCAGACAGGACAGGTGCTATGTGGAAGCTTAAACAGGTTGCAGTGCTGCCGCATAAACTGTTTGGATCTCTAAAGCCTGAGTGCCTGCAGTACTGTGCTCGGGAGTGGGAGATCTGGTCTTTTTTCAGGTAAAGAGTACAAACATTTCTTAGTAAGGAGGCAGCATAGTGTTAGGATGCTTTAAAGACACTTATTTAAAAGCCCTGAGGCAGAAAATTATAGATATATGTGAATACAGCACATAACCTGTTAAGTCATGTGCTCATTAACTGAATATAATTATTTTTATATTACTTTTCATATACTGTATCGGTTGTGATACTTTAATGCAGGGAATATTTGAAATATTACCTATGTTAAATATTATGTATTTGAAGTACTCAGCTTGTAAATGTCCAAACCCATGTACAGAACATGTGCACACATCCTCCTTGCATTTACATTCTTGCTAATCCAGAGTGATGGCTGGGCAGAGAGGGATAGATGGTGGGAGCAAATGGTAGCTCTCAACTGGAAAAACAAATAGGGTGAGGCTGCAGCAAAAGAGCCCGCTGTAGCCCGGGGATGCTCTAGAACATCCTGTCTATGGGTTTGCCTGGGTCAACACTCCACACAGCTACAGGCACTGCATCATTTGGTAGCCGGAAAACAGCATTAGAACCGCATCAAGGTAATAGCCAACCCCGACGGTCAAGTTCGCAGAAAAAGGAAGTTTTTGATCTGATTCTAGTCTCAGAAACCCATTTGTTCATTATTTCTTTTACTTATATGAGCCAGAAGCAAAGT